CAGCGAATGGGTGAATCAATAAGTGTTTGCAAAGTGTGTGTGACCACTGGAGAAAATGCAGTTGCATGGGTGTGAAGTGTCTGGAAAAAGATGATTATTTGCAGCACCTGCTTTCCTGTCAGAAACACTTATTTACTGGGCAGTGAACCAGTCCCTGTCCTTCCTCCTTGGGAGGCACGTACTGGCACTGTTCACAGGGATGTGAAAGGCTGATTTTTGAACATTATGTGCATTACAGCAAGTAAAAGTATGAACGAGGCATGAGGAACATTGGAAAGTGCTGAAAGGTGACCCCTAACCTTTACTCTAAAGACCCAAGCAGTGTTTTTAATTCTACAATTTGGTGATGCTACTCACCTTCCTTATACTCTAGGTTAGCAGTGTCCAGGCCCAAGCACTGCTTTCAACACTCCCTCACCCTGTGGGATTTATCTTGACAAATTCATAATTTTTAAGTCAGAACTTCAATGGCAAGACACTTAGCTGTTCAGGGCAGCAGTTGCACTTGCTCTCCCTGCTGAAGCTGTGCCAATGTGCAGCAGAGAAGCAAGGCTTGAGGGATGGTGGTGTATCGAGTGCCTGCACCCTACAGGGCCATGAGCTCAGCCAGCAGAGGTGCAGTGTGGGTTGCTGCCTCTGTTTCCACTATTTTCACCATAGCTGATCTGAAGACTTCACTAGTTCAAACACAGAAGGTCCCTCGGAGCATGAGGAGCAATAGCAAAGCCCTTTCTCTTGGATGGGTGCCTCTGCTTTGCAGCTGCAGACTCAGAGATGTGCTTGTGTATTCTTTACTTCTTGGAGGTCTTTAACTCTTGGATCTACCTTTCATCCTTCCCCTGATTTTTCTATCAAGTCATTGGAGTTGTAATGATGAGAAGGAGCCACAGATGTACACCCTCATGTGAGCAGGCATCCATTGCTCTCTCCTTGGGCTGCGTTGTCTTCAGCGCAGCAGGAGAAGGAGAAGCCCATTGTGGTACACATCTTTCCTGACTGAAATTGGGTTGCCTTTCTGTTTTCTGTCTAGAAAACAGTTAAACATTTGTGGGTCTGTGCTGAGGATGGATCTGCATGTAGAGAGGGTGTCCAGGGGGATGTTCTTTCAGCACCACTTGGAATCAAGTGAATTGCACTCCAGGGCTCTTCATGGGCTGTAAAAGGAGCTGACAGTCTTCAGAGTTAGGGACTTACCCCTCAAACATCAAAGTTAGAACAAACGTATCACATCTAAATCAATTTGTTGCATTTTTAGCAGAAGCCCTGTGTCATAGTCCAAATCTAGTCATGGTTTAGTTGGGTTTTTTTTTCCATAAGAAAAGCACCATGTGTTTATAAATTGGTCTTTGCCAAATTACTTGGTCTTAAAAAGAGCTGCTCTGTAATAAGCTGCATCATTAAAAAGAATTTTTTCTGTGAGCAGCAGAGCCTGGTTTCCTGCGGTTTGGTGCCTCATGGTGGGATTATGTTGCATCTAATGAGGAGCACTCTGGCTGAAGCCTTTTCTCCTGTTCATAAAGACACTGTCTCATGTGAGTTCTCTAGTGTCTATAATCCATTTGGGATCAAACTGCCATTGTTTAGGTTCTCTCCTATCCGTCAATGTAATACTGCTCACGTGGCCAGCTGTTCCTCCCTGGAGACATGAAAGAGTTATGCTGCTCTACCCTGATGCCTCTTCTCTCAGAAATGGTTGAAAATTAAAGCATTTGAGAATTCCATCCCACAGTTCAATTTGACTGAAACTGGCCAACAGGCTAAAAGATAATTGAGAATAATACTGGACTAACACAATAATATAATAAATCTAATTTTATTAGGTAATTGGGCAATAAATGGTAGAAAGTAAATACTGGAGCAGATTAAACATGGAAAAAACTGTTCATAAATATTTATTCAAGCATTTAAATACACTCAAGGTGACCATTTTTTGCCTGTTTTGCATTTCAATTTCAGCATTTCAATTTCAGCATTTCAATTCACAGCCATATGAATGACCAACAAGATCACAAACTCATACTTCAAAAGTAAATGTAAAATAATATTTTTCTCTGAGACTTTTTCTAAAAAGTGACAGGGAATTATTAAACATTTCTTTCAAAATACTACAAATTTAGAATTTTGAAACAGGAGTGTCAAACAATTCAGAAGCCAGATTTTGAAAATGGTTCTTACCAAGCGAAAGAATAAAAATAGATCATGAGGTTTGTGCTGAGTTTCCAGAATTTTCAATAAACCTGAAATGAACAAAGTTAGACCAGAAATCCTTTGTTGAAGTGATTTGTGGAAATATTTCAGAAATGTGAGTTGTGAAAGGGAATTCATAATTATGCACACACACACAAAAATTCACAAATTTAGGAAAGAAGAAAGATATATTGTATACGTTGCTCATTGTAATTTATTTTTCCAGTTCCTGATCCATAGACACATGCTTGTCATAAAATGATTTTTGAAGATATTTGTATTTTCTTACCTTGGATGCAGTTTAGATGGATGAGCTACTATTGTTCTCCATGTTTCTCAAATTAGGAGAATCCATTTCTAAATTCAATTTCATCCTCAGTGGAAATGGTTTCTCTCACTCTAGTAATCTTTGGAGAAGAATTATACATAGTCTATAAAGCTTCAAATTTCAAAACCTAATTTTGAATGTTAGTCAAGAGGTTAATTTGAGATTCATCTTCCAAAAGGGGAGTTAAATAAAACTGATAGAAGGCTGGAACTTGTCGAGTGGTTGAAAGGTTTATCAGCATGTGAGTACGAGTTCATTAGTTTTAATTAGTATAATCACTAATTTTGCATTAACAGTTTGGTAAGAGAATGCAATTGCTCACACCCACTGTATTAGATTGGGAGATTAGAATTCATTTTATGAGGCAATTAGCATTTCAGGTTTTTTTTTTTTTTTAAGGCTTTTATGATCTGCCACTGCAGTAGCCTCCTTCACCAAAGAATCTAAATTAACCATAACTTTCATCCTAATGGGATGCAAAAATTAATGTAGAATTAAGTGTGAACCAGTAATCCCACTGAGATAAGCAGGCAGCTAAAGCCACAAACCTTGATTAGGTTATAATGACCTGTTTTATTTCCTGGACAATGATAGGAATTTATCTGTCCTCAATTCATTATCTTCTCAGAAAGCTTATATTCTTGGATTTTATATAGCAAAACAAATAAAATATAAGGAAGGGAAAAGTAGAACAGTAGTTACTGAAGTAATAATTGTCAAAAGAAAAAGCTGCCAGTTTCAATAGTCAGGCTTAACTTGTCAATTATTCTTTATATAAAATGTCAGAGGAAGTAGGAACAGCTCCCTTTGACATCCAGTGCCTTGGGAAGAGCAATGAATTTCACAGCAACAGCAATCACAACCCTGCTCTATCCATCATAGCCTTTGGCAGCTACTGACACAATGAAAACAGATGGAATTGTTATCCTGGTGCAAGGAAGCCCTGGTCCTCTGAGATTTAGGACAGTTTACCCAAGAGATTGCCTTCCAAAACATCCTGTAAAGAAATGTGCAAGTTTTGGTGGGAAAAACATCTTACAGCAAGGCTGTAATGAAAACTTTCACAGTATCCATAACAAGACAACACACCCTTTGTAGGAAATCTACCATCCATTATATGGGATTATGCTTGCCACTAGATAAAACAAATCTCTGCTCAAAAATCCAAAATCTGCTACTAGTTGGATGGGGCGTGGAGGATAACAACTGTTAAATGTTAGAACTATAATGTAGTTCATGCAATTTTTGGTACATATATTAAAATAAGGGGATGTGAGACACTAGTTAGGGAATTACATTAATCTTCCTAGGACTTACGTTAAAGCAAAATGTATGTATATATGTACATTCTGCTATAAGGGACATTAATGGATGTAAGAGATGCATCTTTATAAGAGGAGTTCAGAGAGAAAATGTTTAAACAGCTAAAATTTAGGCATAGCTAGGCAGACTGGATGTCAGTCTCTCTAGCATCAGCTGGTGTCACCTTTAGAAGCTGAACTACTTCAGCTCAGATCTGAATCCTGCACTCCCAGGGCTCCCTCACTCTACAGGCTGTAGAGGCAGTTCCAGGTAACCAGGTTTATATCTTGGGTGGGTGAAGTAAATGCTTAAAATTGTGTAAGATAATCATGACCACCATGTCTGTGCCTTATGGTTTGTCTATGCACACAGTTACTGTGGAGAGACATTATTCTTCCTGAATTACATTGCATGTGAATACACTTTTGGTTGAGTAAGACTTATTTCTCTTCAACAACATTCTGTTGAGAGAGGCAGAGCAGTTTGCTTTTTATTCCTCACGTAGAATAATTCTGCAAGAGCTGCTACCTTTTTAGTGAACTGTCATAGCTTAATCCAAATGTACTTTAGTGTAAAAATGCCCTAAATCTGCCATCCAATCACCTTTGAGAGCAATTTAAGTTTTATGGTGGTAAGAGCATCAATTAGGCACAAATACATTGACCAAAAAAAATAGTGACGGTATATACAATAAAAACCTACATTTATTTCACAAATTATGAGTGTAATAAAGACTATTGTTTCAGGAAAAATTACTGTATTTGCCCGTATGTTTCATTAAAGAATAATAATGCCATACATATTTCATTCCCTTGTTCTGAGCAGCAAAACTCTTAACTATATAAAATGCCCCATGCTGTCCTTGCTTTGTTGGGTTGTTTTTTCCTTTTAATCAGATTTTTCCCCCTGAACTAATGAAATTGCTCTTTAAGCACATACATCATTTTCATTTGAAGTGACTTATCATGGCTCAAGCAGTTTGTCTGTTCTCCTGGAGAACAAGGCAACTGCCATCTCCTTGTGCTGTGCAGGTCCAGGTCACAACTGCCTCTGATGCCCGGTGTGCTGAGTTCTCTGCACCCCCACTAATGCTGCTTTAGGTGGAGTATGATGTCTGCACCTTGCATATCTCCACTGGTTTCTGGCCCACTCTGTCTCACATTAAATTTCTCTCTTCCCATAGTATGCACCGACCCGCTGTGCAGCTGCGCAGGCATCCACGGAGCAAGGCATCCTTCCTCCCTGCCATCACCACGAAGCGGTGCACGACCCCCAGCTGGTCCCCTGCACGTGCCCGCTCTTCTCCTGCCCATGGGAAGGGCACCTAGAGGTGGTGGTGTCCCACCTGAGGCAGACCCACCGCATCAACATCCTTCAGGGCGCGGAGATTGTCTTCCTGGCCACGGACATGCACCTGCCCGCACCAACGGACTGGATCATCATGCACTCTTGCCTTGGCCACCAGTTTTTGCTGGTCCTCAGGAAGCAGGAGAAGTATGAGGGCCACCCCCAGTTCTTCGCCACGATGATGCTGATCGGCACGCCCACCCAAGCCAACAACTTCACCTACCGGCTGGAGCTCAACAGGAACCAGCGGCGCCTCAAGTGGGAGGCGACCCCCAGGTCCATCCTGGAGTGTGTTGACTCTGTCCTTTCGGACGGGGATTGCCTTGTGCTGAACACTTCCCTGGCTCAACTCTTTTCTGACAATGGAAGCCTAGCGATAGGAATTGCCATAACCACCAGCAAAGTTCACAGCTCCGAAGCTGAAATGTGATGGGGAGAAGGAAGAGGAGGAGGAACAACAGCAACAATATGGTGCTCTATCTGCCTTCTGCGAGCCAGAACTCATGGACTTTTTATTGGGGGGGAGGGGGATGTCTCGGGTCTTTTATGGTATTTAGTACTTGTCCACAATGGGCATTATGTAAACATCCCGTGGTTACGGTCCCTGTGTCATGTATTTACCGTTTTGCTAATACAATTTTATGAGAAATTTTAAAGAGGCTAATCAATTTATTGTTTCCCTCCAGCAGCACTGGAAACAACACTTGTTAATGGAGAGTGCACCCTGGGTGACTCGCAGAAACCTTTGTTCTGACCATGCTAGGCAAATATGTTTTCTTCATTGCCTGCCTAATGGACCAGAGGCTCCTGTGCCTGTTGAAAGGTGAAGTATTCCACTACGGGACAAGAGCACACAGGTTTCCATATTAGCAATAGTAATTTAACTCCTGTATTTTGGGCACAGCCAAGCCCTGTGGGAGCTGGCAGTTTCAGGGCTCCCTTTGCTTCTGAGGAAAAACTTTCTCACCCAGACACTGAAAGCTTAGAAGATAAAGTCACTCTTCTGCTGAGCAGAGGGCTGGGAAACCTCATCCTGCATTAAACTGGGAATAACAGTTAGTGGCTGGTCACTGTGAGCATGGTTAAATCTTACTCTTGTATCATAAACAGCAGGGAGGGATTTCTAGATGGTCTGGCCATAGGATGGATATAACCATACCAAGCCATTGGGGCATTCATCTTTTTAGCTGCTGTTTCCTTAAATATTCAATAAGAGATTTTCAGAAAATAAAGCATAAGAAGAGTCCTAAGCTGGGTACTGATCTTGCTACTGAATTCTGTGCCAGTTAGATCCTCAGTTTGTGCTGCTAAATGTTGATGTACAGCAATATAGATAGGAGACCTGTTTGCAAACTGGCTTTGAGATTTGGCAGGCACTCCTTTGAAGAAAACCTCAACGTTTTTTCCCTTGCATACATTTTGTGGGGTGGTGGTGAGGGGTGACTATCACCTTCTCCTGAGGGTGTTTCACAAACAGTGATGGTCACAAAAAGACACAGGTTTCTCTAAAAGATTCTCCCTTGAATGGTTACTTGGGGGAGAGTTGGAGGCAGGTGCTGGCCATCTCTTGTCACGCATTCCCATCTGCAGTCAGGCCTGTTTCCTCCACAGCCAACAGCAGCAGTGAAATCCCACTGCAGTATGTGACGTGTTGAAGGAGGGCCTCAACAGATAGTGTGACACATGAGAAGCATGGGAAAGTGTCTTTTCCCGTTTTCCCTTCTGCCTGTGTGTGGCTGTGGTCTGGCTGCTCCTGAATGCTTTTTCAAGAAACATCTGGTGGGTTGGGTCAGTTAGTAGCTAGAGAGACTGAGGCTCATAACTTGAGCCTCTTGGAAAACCAAGGAAGCTGGGGAAACAAGCTATGCACAGTCCTTCAGTGTTTCAAAATGCATCTCACTCTAGCTTTGGGTAGGCAAAAACACTGATGCTGATCTCTCCCACTTGTTGCTCTCCTGAGGATTACTATAAATGATGCATGAAGTAAAATGAATTGTGGCTTTCCTGAGATGAATACCATGCAGGTAAATGACTTCTGAGGCATAGATGCACCTTGCCTCCTCACCTGGACTTTCACAGCAGGTCAGAGAAGTGTGAGGGTCTCTTCTACAGGCTGCTCATGACCACACAAGCTGAGATCTGAGGAAGTCTCAGACCCTGTCAGAAGGCACTTGAGCTTAACTTCCCGGCTCTCCCATCTCTGAGTTTAGAAGGCCAAGGGTAGCACACTGATTTGCAGTGCCTCACTGGAACAGTCAGACTTCAGAGAAGCTGGCTTTTTCCCTGCGATGTTAAATATTCAGGACCAGCAAATGCTGCCCTTTCCCTAAGTGATAGCAATAAATAAATCATTGGTGTTTTTGTGGACTGAAACTGGCTTCTCCAGCTCCTCTAACAATTGTTCTGCTGCTGAAGTAAAACAGAGCAAAAGTAATAAAACCTCAATAAAACCAGTTCCTCTAGTTTAAACTTCCTGACCTCTTTCTACAATGGGGTAGAGACCAAATTTAATGATGTTTTTGTTGCCTGACCACACACGTTCTAGGGGGAGGTATATTACTTATTTATTTTTTCAGTCTATTTTCTTCTTGTTAGTTTGCACCATTTTTTTCCTTGAAATATCTATGGAAATGTAGGTATTTTAGGGCATGGTCCTTGCTAAAAGACCAGCATATTTCAGGTAGGATGAGTGTAACAGTATCAGCTCTCTGGAATGGATATCTCCATCCCTTGCCAGCACCCTGGTTTTGAAGGAGGGATAGTGGAAATGTAACCTTCCTGACATAACCTTCCACACATCCCATGTGTTCTTCTCCCAGAGCTTTCTAGGAACCACACCAACAGTTCAGCTTTTCCATTTTGTTTTCAGTCTTCTCCCCTCATCTGATAGCTGCTTTTCTCATCCCATTTTCAAGCCCTCTACTGTGGTTTCACCCTTTGACTTGCAGAGCCCATGGCACTTCTTGCTTTCTCACATTTGTACCTGTTGGATGGGATTGTCTAAATTGTTCTCCCTGCTTTCTGAAGCCAACCAAGTAACCTCCTTTATCAGTTTTCTCCACATCTGAAAAAAGACCCAGCTCTCTCGGGGATTTCAGAAATTCAGATACATTGGTGTACTGATTAAAATCTGTCCAGTAAGTTCTCCCTATAAAGAAAAGGAAGACATATTTTGGGAAGAAATGAGATGCGGTTGCCTAAATCCAGCCTTCATAAGTGTCTCAACATGAAGTGCAAATGTTTTAAGGTATATTTAAGGACTTTCTACCATAGAAGACAGTCTAATTCTGTCATAATTCAAAGCCTGTGAGCAACCTTATACTGCTATAAAGCAAAGGTGAAGCAAATATTCCACACGATAGGGCATAAATCCTAAAATACTGGCAAGTAGGCTCAACAATAAAATTCAGTTTGCCAGCATTCTTTCAGTGCTCATAGTATAACACTTTTTACAGCTCTGCTTATGTTTGAAAGGTAGCTGAAGCTTGGCTTCCTAAATTTGATCTGAAATCAGGGCTTCTAAAACTAATTTCGCACTCTAATATTTTGCATCTTTATAGTGTATTAAATTTGAATTCCTGCCTTCCTGTGAAGAACACAGCCTTATATCTCTTTGAAGTAAGGAAGTACCCTCCATGTGGTGCAGGAGAAAACAAGGTCTTTCAAAACTGCTATGCAGCTGTTGCAAAATTCTGTTTTCCCAGCTATCTGGGAGTGGTGTTCTCCCTTTCTTTTGGTGGGGTTTCAGTTGTCTTTTGGTTTTCTACACAGACATAATATTGGCTTTGGGTTTGTGGTTTTATTTTTAGGGTTTTTATATATCTCTGTTCACAGATGGATTTTCTTGTGCTTAGTTTAGTAAATTGCAACAATAATTGCATCAGACTGAGACAGATGGATTGCTACCAGACACACTAGAAAACCTACTTTGGTTCATCTGCACTATCCATCAGATACCATGTGAATGTAAATGTCAGATCTGCAGTAAAACAGCATTAGTGCTTTCAGCTCAATTCCATTATGAATTAAGCTCACATCATAGATCCATGAGTCCTTATAAATCAGCTGAAGCATCTCAAGTCTCATCATGTTGAAGATCTTGCTGTGCCAGCGCTGGCTGTAGGGCTTGTTGAGAAGTAGGGCAGTAGTCTTCCTCTCACTGGACTTGATATCACACCCTCTGTTTCATACCATCCTAATGAATACAGGCCAGTAAATACTGAAGGAACAAGAGGTGGTAAATTTTGGACAAATTAGGGTTATAGCAAAATTAGTCACTTACAATAAATTGCTGGATGCTACTTCATGGCTCTCTCTTTTGTGCATCAGACAAACTAAATCCAATTGACAGTACTGTAGTACAGGTGATTTATTTGTTTTTCTAGCCTAACACACACCTGACAAACACTTTATTTGGAGAAGAGTCTGTCAGAACAGACTCAGAGGTACTTCTTCTGCAATTGAATCAGAAACAGCTTCTCACATGGAAGAGCTTCAGATTTTGAACTGTTCAGACACAAGCATAAGTTTTAAGGTTTTTTTTAATTTTTTTTTTTTTTTAGTTCAATAAACTCTGCCTGCTCACACCATCAGAGTGAAGGGCGGAAAACAAAGATTGCCATGTGTCATCACCAGAACTCCTCACGCACAAATATGATTCATCTTCTGCAGAGATGAGCCTGCAGAACAGAGAGGGTTTCACAGCAGGGTAGCATAGGGCAGCACCTGCAGGCTCCAGAGGTGTGCACATAGAGCTGAGGGCAGAGCTCATCCTCCAGACAGAAACTACTCAATAGGAACCCCTTGGAGTGTGGTCACGGTGGGACTGGTAGGAAAGCAATTGGACCTCCTGGGAGTAGCAAACAGCAGGAGTTAAAGCTCTGTGTAGAGACGTTTCTCTTCTCATCAGCACCTTCCACCTGGCTATAAAGTGTCTCCTCTCCTGGGAACCTTGTCTCTGGAGCAGTGCAGGTGATCAGATCAGCTGGGTCTGCATCTGAATGGTCCTGCACAAGGATGCTGCATCCTGAATGCAAACACCTAACCCCAGTCCAGCCTGGCACCTTTGGGTTTGGTGGGTACCCAGCTGCCTGCAGCTGCTAATGGTTCCTCCAGGTCCTGACACCTGACAGTTCTGCTGCCTTTCACCTGCACAGTTCCCACCAGGGCAATAAAGTACTTGCTGAAAACCACACAAAAAATCTTTGACAGAACATCATACTAAACCTCTACCTCATACCTCCGGCTAGGACTACAAGCAGTCATTCTTTCTTTCTCCACACAGGCAATAGACTAACACATAGCTTTCTTATTGCCCTTTGGGCTCTGCCACTCCAGAAAATACATGTGAAAGATTAGGAAGCAGTGATCATCTTCAAGGGAATAATGAGGACTAACTTTCATTGCAAAGATGTCTCTTCTCACAGTACTTTCACAAAAGGGTGCCAGGCTCCAAGAAAGAAACTAACAAACTCTGGTGGAAGGAAAATGGGAAACACCAATTGCAAAACCTGCTGTACTTCAACCAGAATGAGCTTTATGTCTTCCAAGTAGGAAAAATCTTCCTGAGATATTGCCTATCTGAATACATTACTTAATCTTGCAGAAAGCTCCAGGACAGAGAGGTTCTTCCTGTTAGAAATTGCATCAAGTAACCTTATTGATGATAAATGGCTTTGAACTTTCATAGCAACAGTGACAAAGTGCTTCAACATCCATGCAGCACAGACTGAAAAATCAAAGCTTTTAGACAAAGAAATAAACTTATTCAAATGCAAATGTGAGATTTAGGGCAGAGTTTCCAGGTGATTTTAAAAGCACTTTTCTTATTGCTGAGATTGGTTGTCTGCATAGCAAGATCTATCTCACTGCCAGCCAGGTCCTATTGGCTTGAGTTCAGGAAAAATTCAGATAGTCTTTGGTGATCTGCTAAGTGAGACAACTTTAAAAAGTAAAGCAAACACTGTAAAGCATGAAACAAGTCTGGAAAGCATCTTTGTTTTCAGATCAGACTGCCTGGCGAGCAGACTGTGGAGAAAGGACTACATCTCCCACCTTTTCAAGGTGAATCCAGACTGGCAAGCAGAGTCTGTGTAGGAATTTTCTTCATGTTGCAATCTCTGCTTTAGCCACTGAAGATAATAGCTGCCAAGCAGCTGGCTTGAAAACTTCAATGACTCTGAGACTGTTCTCTAAATAGCTACTAAGATTCACTTTTAGGCTGAGATGGTACCAGGGCAGAGACAGGAAG